GTTGAATTCTGCACACCTTCTCTCTGCTAATGAATCACATTCTCTGTACTTCCACTCTCATCTTTAGCAGAGAGAGAAAAAGCTCTTTTTGGTGTCTGACACTTTCAGGCAATTTCGTGCAAAGAGAGAGGATTTTTTTTTTTTAAATAGAAATACCCAGCTAGCAGCACAAAAACAATTAATCATCTTTAGAGACAAACTTGGCTGGTGTAAATTGATACGACTGCACGCAGCAAGCATGTGGCTCTGTGTATTCTTAGCTAATTTGGCCCATAATCACTGGAAATATTAGTCAGTCAGATTATCTCATATGCCAAGGTTCATGTGACCAGATAATAAATAATCTGGAAGATTGCTCAGTGAGACAGCCTCTGCTGACGTCCGTGTGCTGGAAACCACCTCAGCCCAAGCCGTAATTCGGAATATCTCCTGCTTCTGGAAGGGCTGGGCTGAGGCCAGAGCCAGCTGTTTGGTAGCCACTTCTCTGCAGCCTGCTGAGTAAAATACTGGATTCTAGATAAAGCCTTTGTGTAGCTGCTGACAGCACTTGTCTATATGTAGGTACCTCTACGTCATTTCCATAGTGAGCTCATTTATTTATATCTCCTTGGGCATGACCAGCACACTGGTTCACCAAGAGAGCTGTGTGGGACACACTGGGAAAGGTTAAAGCAAAACAGTGCCCAATTTTTAATTCTGACTCTGAAAAGTGATAATAAAAAAGAGCAAATCTGATCTAGATGTCAAATTCACAAAACACACAGATCAGCTAGAACAGGTATTTTTCTAATTAACTTTCTGTGGAATGCTGCTGGTTTTTTATAATACAGCATGGTCCCAAAGCAAGGACAGGGTGCAAAAGCAGTAATGATGAAGTATTTGTTGAGTGCTGAATTTGGAAATAACCTGGCTTTCCCATTAGCTGGTTAACTGTCTTGCAGCCAGATCCTCAGCTGCAATAAGCTGATGTCACCCTTTTGAACAAATTTACTCTGGCTGAAGATGGGGCAGTGGTTAATGAGCAACTGGAGTGGCAGAATTTCTGAATTTCTGCAATTATGGGAAATGCCTGTTACAAAGTAGGCGAGACTCAGCAGTGCAGTGGTACTGACATGTCACAAAGAGAAAAAGGTATTCAGGGAGAAATGTTGAATGAAAGATTATTTTTTTTCTGAAATTGTATTACTCAAATTCTTATTGATATTCTGCTGACCTCTGACCCCTACAATAATTCTTTAGTGCAAGAACTGTGTGATGCAATTACATACAAATCACCAGACTTGGCATAATTCCTTGACTTACAAATGTGATAGAGGTATGAAAGTGGATAACTATCTGATTACCTTGCACTCACAAAAGGCACTGTTAACTTCCCTTAATATCTTTCACTTATTGCTCTTCCTCAGTCCTAGTATAAAATACTAACATGGTATTTTAAATCTTAAAAAGAAATGTGACGCTTTGTGCATTGATGTCTGAAGGAAGAATAGAACTGGTATGGATGACCCAGAAGGTCCTTTAATTCTTGAATTCCTGTAAATGAAAAGTTTACTTTCATTTGCTTCAAATGGAAAAGTTTTCTGGCTGTGAAAGTACAGGAAAATCAGGATTTGACATTTTGAAATAATATTTTTCTGAATGAAAAGTGTAATGACTGCAATCCATAGCTGTAAAATATGTATTTATTCATAACATTTTTTTCAAAAGAAAGTAATCTTGAATGTTACACGTGATATAGTCACTTACTGGAAAGTTGACTACACTTTAAATCAGATGTTAGACCACAAGTGAAGAAGTTGTAGGAAAAAGCTTGGCTTGACCATCAGATTGTAGAAGATACATACGAAATAAGAGCAGAAATCCATCTTGCTTTAAACAAACTAAGGGTGGTCTCTCACTCTGCTTTGCCTTTGCATATTTGTAAACTGCTGAAATAGAGGAAAGAAAGGGTTATAACACTTTCAGACATGATTCAAAAGAATGAGAGTAAGACTAATAATTACAGTGAAATATTCCAGGGTGTTGTATTCAGTTAGCACAAAGGGTAATAAGAGGAGATGCTTTCCCAGTCCTTACAACCCCTTACCTTGTATTGATGTGCAATGAAAAGAACAAAAGATAATTAATGGTCTACGAAGAGGACACTCTTAGTAGTAAGCTGGTGTCTCAGCATCCATCTTCTCCTTGATCAATATTGGAAACTATAACTTCACTGGTTGTTTTATGAGGTCTTTAGAAAAGGACGCAGAATTATCAAGATCATAAAAAAATGTATTTCATTCTTTTGTGGCTATAACCTCATTAGTCTGCCTGGGAAAGGACACTGCCATTCTTCTGTGTCACAGCCCATTCTGAAGGGGGAAAGTACTTGTGTTACTTTTCAGCTGGCGACCTGTGTAGTTTGTCTTGAGTGGAAGAGTCCTTTTGGAAGGCAGCTGGCTCATATAAAACAAGTGTCCTGCTGCCCTCCTGGCTGGATGGGAGCTCCATGCCTTCCCAGGATCCCTGCAGCCTGTGTGGAGTCGAGCAGAACTGCCAGACCTCAACTTGCCAGCCCAGCACATCTCTGGCCATGGGCTGGCAGGGCTTAAAGCAGCTCTGGCCCAAAGCAGCTTGGAAGTGGCCAGGCACAGCAGTGTCCTGCTAATGAGCTCTGCCTCGCTCAGGGATGTGCAGGGCATGGCCCTTCCAGCTGGGAGTGCTGTGTGGTGCTGCTTTTCATCCCCCAGGGGCACACTCACCCGCTCCTGGGCTGCAGCAGGACACTGCAAGCTCTTGGTAGCTTCTAAACACCTGAGGCATGTGGGTGGTTCCACAAGTGGACCTAAAACGTGAACTTGGATTCAATTTTTAAATAGCTGAAATTAGGCGATGTGAATTCCATTGCTGCCACAGCAGGATTTGGGGGCCAGAAAGGACTGATTGTCTCAGGATGAAAAAAGGGAGAGGGATGTAAAGGTAGAGCTGCTAATAAGGGCTTGGCTAGACATTTTGAACAGATTGAGGACAGCTCTGCCCTGAAGTCAAAACATACTCAGGAGAGCTGGAGATGGAGACCTGCCTCTGTTTTGAGCAAGCACTGCTCTTTAAGCGTGCTAAGCTTTACAGTTTTTCAGCTTTCTTCATCTAAATGGGTTGATCAGCTCTCCAGAGCATGGGTTGGCCCTAGCTACTCTGTCCCAGAACCCGCCATAGTGAGGTGTTGATCTGTAGGGATGCAGGCCCTGCAGCAATGTGGCTTATACTGCATTTAGAAAGCCAGCTCATCCTCTATCAAACTGGAAAAAAACATCCCTGTTCTTCAGCTGGCAGTGCCAGCCCTGAGTACCTGCACATCTGCCCCGTGCTGGGACACATGACAGATTTTGGCCTGCAGGCTTGTATGCTGAATAGGTGTTGCCAGCTAACAGCTTGCACCCATACCTGGTGGATTCTGGGCTCCAGGCCTCACAGGTGTGAGATTACAGAGTGTGAGAAAGCAATTTCAGACATTTTTAGAGGTCTCGAGAACATAACACCCCCAAGTCCACAGATGTTGCACACCTGAGAGGAAAAATACACAGAGACTATGGGAGATGTGCTGTTCTACTGGGTATTGCATGGCTCAAGTGCAAAAAACACAGATAAAATATTTTCTTTCCAACAAAGAAAGATAAAATGGGTTCTTCTATTGTTTCCTGTAGCTAGGAAGAAAAGGGTCTCCAATGGCAGTGTCTCTTGCCTGGCCTAGTACAGTTCAGCATGGTTTGGGACAACATGGGTGTTTGGGACAGGGAAAAAGGGTAATCCTTGGTTTCAAGGAGTCTAGGCCTTGATTTGGGTGGAGCTGGCATTGCTTAGCAGCCACATCAGAGAGAAAAGTCAGGGTTCAAGTGGAGTTTCATTTACAGCAGTTTCTGTAAATGCCCAGTGAAACCCTTTCTAAGTGTGGAAAATAAAGTGTTCTCATCTAAACCCAAGATAAAACTTAGAAAAGATCTGTACTTTACTACCTCTTAGCACAGGTCTCATTTTACATCTTTAGATCACTGAAATCTGTATTGAGCTCTCTGCCTGTTCATATTAATGGAAGCAAGTTGGGTTACTCATAAGTACTAAAAGCACATACACTGTATATATGTGTGGGGTGTCAAATTACATAAGAGTAAACTTTTGTTTCTGCACTGATTTGTTGCTTTAGAGTCAGCAATTTTATTTTGTTGCATCAGTATTTCTCCAAACAGTCTTTTCAACAAAACAGCCTATATTAAGGTGCTAAATGATCTCTACTAAGAGAATTTCTTTTGTTCTTCTCTATTTGCTTGCATGGTTATTGTCACAATCCACTAATAAGTAGCTCAACATGCTACTTCCTCAAGAGTCCCACTGCCTTTCCTTGTAAACAAAGGCAAATCCAAGTATTTTGCTCTAGTAAATTCTAAATGTGTTTCTCAGGTAATTTGAACAAAGTATATTAAGAAATCAATATACATAATAAAATAGAGCCTAAAAAGCCTCCAGGACTGCCCTCTAAAGCTGTGATACCTGATTTGCTTCAGTGCACATGAACAAAAAGCATGCAGAAGCAAACTCATTTCAGGCAGAAAGGACAGAACCTACCACTTTTGCTACTGCCCCCTCCAGAGAACCCTTTCATGTCTCCAGGACATGGACCTCAGCATGCTTGAACCTAACTTTAAAGCTGAACCCTAAAGTTTTCCCACTGGTTTGATCTAGGAGGCAATTGCTGCTGCAAGCAGGGCCAGCAGCTTTTCCTCTTGACTCTTGTGATTTTACCCCTCCATCAACCAAGCAGAGGTGGTCCAGATGATGAACAATTCAAATTCTGACAATCCTTAATAACATACCAACCTGTGAAAACAAATTTGCTGATATTTTCATTTTAGCCTGAAGGACTTGCAGACAAATTTAAGCATCTCTTCATTGGAGGGGTGGAGAAGGGACCCCAAATTGAAGAAGAAAGAAGAATTAATCTGCATGTATTTTGCTTTCTTTTCCAGGTACCTCCAGCATCTACCGTTCTTGATGTGAAACACAAATTTCACAAAGCATGTAAGTACTATGGTTACCAGGCTGGAGACATGGTTAGAAGCCTTTTGTTTAGAGAAATGGTCAAATTTATTTTTCAGGAATCTCATACAAAAGCTGAGACTGGCCTGACAGCTCCAGAGCTCAATAAGAACTGTGTTTGAACTAAGGTTCTATTGTAGCTGTTGCAGATGGGAGAGACTGGAAGGAGAGAACTGCATAATTTATCACTGCCAGCACATGAGGGGCAATAGTTTTTATCTTGTTTTTAACATTACATGGTGTCATTTCAAGGCCAGTACTGCATTTCTTCTCCCAGTGTTATATTGGATAAACTTCATTAACAATAGACTGCTTCAAGCTGGCCATAAACTGACCATGTGGACCAGAAAGCTGCTGTAGTGGGGAATGTGAGCTCAGAGTGATTAAATAACATCTGGATTTAGGTTAGATATACAGAAGAAATTCTTTCTGGTGAGGGTGGCAAAGCTCTGGCACAGGCTGCCCAGAGAAGCTGTGGATGTCCTGTCCCTGGAAGGGTTCAAGGCCAGGTTGAATGGGGCACTGAGCAACCTGGTCCAGTGGGTGGCATCTTAGATACTGAGCTTTCATTATTTTTACAAAAAAAGGGGTGTGTTCAACTAAAGGCTAGATGCCTTTTACAGGGAAAAAACAAAAAGGATTGTCAGCCACTAACATGCTTGAGTTCAGAGTAGGGTAAGTAAAAAAAGCATTATGCTTCTCCTGTGTCCTTATAATTTTATAAAACACTAAAGCTTAAGGCATCTGTGGTTGCACATGGGTTCAGCTGATGAAGAGAAAGGCTGTTAACCTGACTGCTCCAAAGTTACTTATTTTCCCTCCCTGTAAGGGCTTGTAAAATACAAAATGGCAAAAGTTCAAAAGCCACACTGCTGAATATGAAGAGATCGAGTGCAGAAGTTTTAATATTTCAATAAGAGTATGTCCTCCCATTAGTTTGTCAAATGCAGTGCACTTCTGCCTAGAATCTCTTAAATCAATTGAAACTGGGTTTATATTGATGCAGTTTAAATCAGTTGGAGAACACTGGCACAGAGGTTTATGCCAATATAACTGTAATGAGGTTTTTAATGGATTTGTGCTAAAATGATGTGAGATTGTGCATAAGCCATTTTAATGGCACCTGTTTTGATATTAAGAGGCATCTTACTGCTCAAGTGCCCCCAGTGATGTGAGTGGAGCTGAGTATAAAGTAAGACAGTAAGCGTACAAGAAAGCACAGTATACATCATGAACCAAACCTCTGTCTGTGCAGTGTGTTACAGCACATGGAAGGGCTGGCAAGTGCCTTCAATGCTTTTTAAATTCTCATTTTTTACATCAATTCATCCCATTCCCCGGAGTACCGTATCAGTGTCCTGTGTCCCTTCTTAGTTCAGCTCATTGCTTTGATCTCTCTTTTCCAGTTCAGCCTGGATGTTGTTGTCTCATGAGGTTCCCCCCCGCTCCTCCTTTCCCAGTTGCAAAGATCAAACCTTCACTTTTTTCTCTTTGTGTAGTTAGTGGGATGACAGCTGATAGAATGCAGTTCTCTTAGGCAAGGGCTGAGAAGGGGCTGAAGCTGATCTGTGGATGCCTTTGGTTAGTGTGCTATTTTGTACTGGCTCATGCATTCATTTCTGTCATTCTGTGTGTGCCAGACTCACATGTTCCCCTATAATCTCTCATTAAAACACTCTCCTACGCGCACCCCCTTACAGTCTCCCTGGCTTCGTACATTCTCCTTTGATCACCCATGCAATTAAGCTTTCTCCTCAGCTGGTATCTTGTCAGCCCTTCAGTGAGAGGAACCCCTGTGCAGCAGTTTCACAAGAATCATCTCTGTCACTGATCAGGTTTTGCAGCCTGATTCAAGAAAGGAGGAAAGAGACTGAATTATGAATTGCAGCACAAGCTGTTAGTCATTAAAATAAAAGAAATGGGATGCAAGTGACACTTGCCATCTTACTGATAAGCAGTTTCTAAGTTAGTCAAATATTAGTTTGGATGTGTGTTTACACAAAAGGCAGAATATGGATTAGAAGTTAAGGAACAAATACTGAAATATTCCTCAGCCCTCATTTTAGCAAAACTCTCTACTGAAAGAACCCCCAGAAGGCCTAACCTTCTGCTTTTTGTGGCATTGAGTTCAGGGGGACAATCCCAGCTTTATTGCTGGAGATTCAGGGATCTCAGTGGAGAATAACCATTTAAGACAAAGTGCTATTTTCATGGGAATTCAAAGGCTTTGTCCAGATTGAAGCTGTTTTTAATTATCCCCTGGCTGCTGTAGCCACTGCCCACGGGAGGGATGGGCAGCAACTGGGGTCAGCCCAGCACAGCGGATTCCCTGCTGCAGCCCCCTCCAGCCATCAGCTCCACAGGGGCTTTCTGGAACAGATGTTAGAGCCAGGCTGTCATGCTTAATAGCAAACATCACACCTGCCCACCATGGATCTGTCTAATCCTTTTTAAACCTACTTACAGTTTTGACCTCAGCAAAATCCTCTGGGAAGGAGTTCCACAGTATAAGCCTGTTGTGGAGAAATGTCTACACTTTTACAGCTTGATATTTTCTGCCTGAGGATGAGTGGCAGCTGAGTGTCAGGGTATCACTGGCCATGGTGCTGAGCTGTCTGAGGCACCGTGCCATGCATTAGGAGACTTTACTAGAATTTTCCTCATTCCTTTGGCTAGCTGGCAGAGATGGAACCAAGCCAAAAACTGAGTGTATAAGAAAAAAGTCTCTTGACCCATTTTCTCAGTTGCTTATAATGAGTTAGCTACCTGGCATTTTCTTTATCTATACAGATTATGTTTTTGATGGAGAAAGAAATATCTTGTAGGCTAAACTTCCTGAGCTCTTGTCCTTGGCAATAACTTTTCACCTTTAATTTATTTTTATCTTTGCAAAATGTATTGGACTGCTGGGGGAGGAAATCTTACAGATAGAAAATGAAAGACTGTAATAATAATGCTAATTCAAGTATCACATAACTAAAATAAAATACTCCTAGAACACATAATATATAATATAGTGGTGTCAGTGATCATTAAGTATTTTCAAGGTTACTGCATGAAAGTTGCTGAAAAAGCTCTCGAAAGAAGAGGAAGGACTGAAAGGAAATGAGGAAATAAGATCTCAGCAGTGCTGTAACAAACTGACAGAGGCAACCTCCTGCTCAAGGAGGACAGCACAGCTGCAGCTACATTTGGAAGCCAGAAGGGTGAGCATGGGAAGGCCAGAAATTGCCCTTTAGGCAGAAGGAGCAGGCAGGGAAAGGAGGAAGCCTGGTGATGGGTAGAAGGAAAAAGGGAAGTCCAAGAGATAACATCATGTCAAGGGCATCCTGGTCCCCAGAGGGAAATAAAGTGCTCAAGGAATAGGGAACATCTAAGCTAACAGGAGTTATATAGGGCATTTAAAACAAGCAATATCAATGAAAGCAAATCATAAAGACAGGATTTGTCAGTAGATGGCACTCAAGAATAAACAGCATAATTTCTGAACAATATGAAACTTTAGAACCCTGCTATACCATCTTATAACTGCTCCTTACAGGTATTTCTATAATGATCCTGGGAGCCATGTTCTCTGGAATGCTGCTGAAATATTCTCTGTTGTTTTTCTCTAGAGAGAGGACAAGGAAGAAGTGTAAATCCTTCTTCATGATGGCACCAATCTCCCTTTCAGCCTCCTTCTTACAGCAGGGCAGTGTGTTAGGAGTCATCTGCCAGGTTTTGCCTTCTGCTCTCATCCTGCATGTGTCCCAGAAGCCACAGGAGAACTGGTAGCCCTGCAGATCCCATCACCCATCAGTAGTGTTCAGCTCAGGCAGTGCTCAGCAGCTGCAGGGAGAGCAGCATTTTAAAATCAACAGGTCCTCGTTCACCTAGAACCCTGAAGCAGATCTTCAAAACACAGAGCAGGGGAAGTCGAGCTGACGGGGTGAAGAGCAAGGAGGAGAATCTCTCATTACTTAAAAACCACAAGGCAGGCTTTGTGAGCACAGGTCAAGGCACAAGAAGTAGTAAAAATAGCTCTTTAGTGGAGGAAGTCCTCTTTCTTTCCTCCTTCCTAAAAAGGCTGCTAAGGGTTTTCATGCCCTGAATGTGCAACTTTTCTGGTTTTCATGAGACCTGAGCAGTCAGGTGCACCTAGTAGCAGGATTTCAATAGCAAGGGCACCAGAAACAACTGGATTTTGCCAGGCCTGTGCTGACACACAAGAGAGAGATGCAGAGCTGTTGCTGGAAAGGATGGCTGTACTGCATCCCGTAATTCCCTTCTGGAGGCTGGCTGTGATGTTAAACTGCAAGGCTCAGAGAGGTGAGGGAGGATGCTGTGGGGATTAGTCATTAAGAGCAGTACCAGGGAGAGCAGTGACTGCTAAGCCAGTCCTTGCCTACCGGCTCTGTATAATCAGGACTGTCTGATAACACAGTCTTGCTGAGAACCTGCACTTCCTCTGATTCCTCCACACTGCCTATTACAGCTGGATTCTCAGGTTGCAGAAAGTTAATGAAATCTGTCAATTTTGATGCCTGGAGAGACTCATGTGCCTGATGAATACATCTGCTGGGGACTCAGAGAAGCTGAATTATGCTATTTATGGCTCAGCAAAGTTGACTTCATAGTCTTGGCCTGTCAATCAGCCATGTGTTTCACAAACCAAAGAGACCCAAATAAGTTATATCTAGGGCAAAGAGCCTTCCAGAGGGATCTTTCTTCTGTCCTATATTAGGAGATCAGGCTTTGAGAAAGCCAAAATGTTTGAAAGAGGGCAATGATCTGATCCCACCATGAGTCGCCTTGAGCTGGACGCACTCCCTGGACAGAAAGGCAGCTACAAAGTCTATAGCTTTTATCAGATCTCAAACTCCTTCCTCCCTGATTGTGTCCTAAGTAGCTCACACTAGCCCAGAATCCATATATGAAGGAGTTTTCCAAAGGACAGATAATATCCTGCTGTGCAGTGTCTGATTGCAGAGCTCAGAGGCCCC